GCACCGAAGAACTAAAAACCAATAAAGCACTTCAATTGCTTTGGCCACTGCTACAAACTAAAAACATCATACGCATACTAGCCAAATTACTAACAACATCAGATATGATACACGACATCTTCCCCCACGGCTTTTTCCCAGATGATAAACAGGTAAGTATAATTTAAAATACTCTTCACTAATAAATTTAAATTAGAACTAACCATTTTCTATCAATGTTTGAATTATATTTCTAGTCTTCACACCACGATCATCTAAAAAACAGAAAAGAAAAATAAAAATAAAAACTTGTTAAACTATCCTAAAATTCGTGAATTTTTTGCACTAAATATTGTAATAAAATTCATACCAAATGTAGTAATTTTATTTATAAATTATTTCCCCATGAAGCAGTAAACTTCATTACAAAGAAAATTTATCATTTTAAAATTCCCCCAAAACGCAGTAAACTTCAAATTCTCTGCAAAAAATTAATAAAATGAGAAAGCAGTACTAACCTTTTCAAAAAATTTATTTCACTCGCACAAGAATTCTATCCAAACTCGCACAGCTCGCCCACGAAGAATTGTTTAAATAATGATTTTAAGTCTCAAGCTTTCACACTCGACAACTCTAACACACGATAACAAGTTTCAAACTTTCCTTTAACCCGGTTGGAAAGGAAATAATATACTAAACCAAACTAACCAATGCAGCTTACTAAACACCACAAATCATAAAATAACAGCATGACTAAGAAAAGAAAACCAACGGTACCCAAACCGGATTAACCCAGTTTAAAACTGGATAATTTATTCTTTTGAAGACTATTATATAGTCTAAGAAAGAAATAATAAAACACAAAAAAATCGCAAGACAAACCCATACCAAAAACAATTTGAAAAAAGGACACAACCAAAGTAACATAAGAAAGACCAACATAAACCCAACATAAAACGTTATCACAAAACAGGACCTCTCAAAGAAACAGCATGAAATCATACTCCCACTCCTGGCCTAACCCACCAAAGAGGACGTCCTGAGCATGCTCTATAGCCGGCCTAACCCACCGCGCTACATCCACGCTTTGTGACCACAGAACTATTTTTAATAAGAGGTACTCAAGGGTGAGTAACTCTTCAAAATAACCAAACTAAAACAAAACGCTTTTGTGAAAACGACTAACTAAAATCATGATTAAAAAATTGAATTAACATAATTTTATAAAATGTAAATCATGCTTTGCAGTATATAGATCATTGCACAACAACAAAGACGAACATCCAAAGACTAGATGATCACATCACACTCGAACAAAAGAATGGCTGAGCACAAACCGACATGCCGTCCACAATCACAACTCAAAGAATTTAGAGTACGACTTGACTTCGCAGAAAAGGACTTCATTGAACTAGACCAATGACCACCTCGATGTTCAAGTTTACGTATAGGTCCGAGTTACAAGACATCCCTTCCACACACGATCTTCACGCCATTCCCAGACGAGGTTGCACACAAAACAAGTTCTCTACATAATACAGAAAAACCTGTCATAGCAAACCATTTTGAAATCGGATTGATTTCATTGGGGATCACGGTCGTTGTCGATGACGACGTAACAATTTCATATCCATAATTCCAGCGTCCTGGAACGTTCTTCCCCAAGAGGAACCGGACAAGAAAATGATGTTCGCCAAATACCAACGTTCATCATCCATCCTTCAAATTACAGAAAGATAGTTCTAAAAAACTCTGTAAACCCGGATGGGTGGAATCTGATCTAAACTACATTTTATAATTGGATAAATTGGATATTTTACCACTGTAAAATATTTAATATTAACCAATCATAATCCATCTAACTAACAACCCACTTATTTGTAAGTGCTGAAATTACTTGTAATTTCAGCACCAGAGAGATTTGAATTTAACTTAGAAATTAGTTGCCTCTCCAAGAGAACTTCAGCAGTTGCAATAAGCCAGTATACTCTAGATCTATTGAGCCTAGCAGAGACTAGTTAAACACCCTGAGACTAGTAGATATAAGAGTAAGATTAGGATCGGTATTAGACTAAGAAGTTGCACGAATCTATCCGGCCGAAAATAAGATAGCGTGACGAGCAGACGGTGTACCCTATCCGAAATTACTCTATGAGTTAACCACATCGGTCGTAACTCACTTCTAAAAGAAAATTTAGAATGATGATCGATTAGTTTGGTTAGTTGAGATGACCGTCAAATGAAGCAAACATTACTTTTCTGGTTTAACTTGCACATTATTGCTATCAAATTAGGCTAAGTGACTGCTAATCAGCTGATTTTAAAAAACATAACCACCCTCTTGCGTAAAATGCTATGAAACATCTTGCTTACTTTGTAATCAATTTGAAGGGCCAAATTGTTGTTCCGACCAATCGCCAAGAGTGGAAGGAATTATGGTCTAAGTGCCACTTAGAAAAAACATTCCAGCCATTTTGTTTAGCTCAAGGAAATCTCGCAGCGAGCTTAGTTTGGTATTGTAGCCCTTTTAGTAGTAATCCGGTTCGACAAAATTTCAAAAAAAAATTCTCAGTGTTGAAAAAACTGGTCTGAAGAATTTCAATTTTTTTGACCAAAAGAGACAAAATTTGATGAACAGATGTCATTTTCGACTTAATTTAACTACACAGAACAAAATGTTTGCTAATTTTGTTCTCTTTTTGCAATTTTGTTGCGCAATTTAGTCATTCTTTGCTAAAAATACCAAGTTAGAAAGAAAGCAAAGAAAAGAGAGAAGCTTCTTATTTTTTGGGTACTGTTTATGAACTTACTGTGTTCGGAATTTGCTGTGCTACTTGCTTATCAGTAATAAAACTAAATTATGCTTTGAATTGCCTCCATTTTTGCTATTTGGCCAATTTTTTTATCTGCCTTTAACTTCAAGCTCTATCAGAATGGTAGTTTTTGTTGTGCTTGTATTCAGCTAGATTTTTCCCCAATTTTTATCCTCTCTGACACTAAAAGCATAAAAATTTGTGGTGTGATGAAAGGACCAGATTTTTTGTTTGTAGGAGTAAAGTAAAAAGCAAAAAAGTGCAAAATCGATCTCTAAAAGTTTTTGCATCAAGGCGCTGAAACTCCGCAATTTAATTTTACGGCTTAACTTGAATTACAGTATTTAGAAAATTATAAGACCTACTCGCTTGCTTTACTCGCTCTAAGTGAGACCAAAACTCGAAAACTTCAAACCTCTTTTTTCAACATTGGGCAAAAAGATTTCGTACTTTGTTTTTACCGTTTGAATTGCGTTCGATAGAGCTTATATACCATTCGACCCATTCCAATAATTATAAGTGTTACCTTGTTTTGCGTAAAAAAACTAAAAGACACTCATACACAAAACTCTTCCCATTATCTTAACAACAGATTGAGTAAAATGAAAATTTTTCCTCTTAAAACAGGCGTGATAAAGTATTCGTTGCAAGGAGCTTGGTCTTAAAAAAACTAGTGAACTTGAACTTTATCTACCGCTGTTTTTGTTTTGTTTTTTTTTTGGAAACCTGGCTAAAGCTCCTCTCCGCGAAAAGAAGAGTTAGAGAAAAAAGTCAATATTCTATACGCAAATATATTTTATTTTGGAACGCTGAGCAGTTTGTCAAATTTAATTCAGAAAGAGGGCTGAAAGTGAGTTCTTTTCTAAAACCGCCACTTAATTATAACCCCTGCGGTAGCAAGGGTTTTGCAATCGGGTTGAGGACTTTTTTCCGTTACCAACTTTTTCAACAGATTTCAGATGCTTGCAGTAACCGACATGCATGCAGTATGTGCGTCGCATATTTGCGCTCATTGGCTTATTACTCTCACTGCGCATCCTCAGTATTATCCTAATAAATTCGCAGTTCAAATTATTTACATGATATTTCGTGGTTTTTTTTTGAATTTTCGACTTCGTCACTTTCGATTTCGTTTTTGTCGGCTTAGTTACCGCTTTGTTTGAACCATTGAACTAAATCGCGTATTTGAAATTACAAATTACAAACAAACTAGTTGCTATTATTGTTCTGATTTACTTCTGCTGCTTCTTTGTATTTTTTAATCCCTGAGATCGAATATATATCCTTGATTTCCGCATTTATTTTATTGGCTTAGGGACCCAATTTTCAGTTATTTCAATGGAAACTAATTATTTATGCTCATCTGTGGATTGAACAAAAAGCAAAACATCGTAACAGAAGTTCTAGTTCACTTTTTTGTTTTTGTTTTCTTTTTTTTTGGCTTGATAGGTTTTTGGCCTATATTATATCGGCTTATCGGCCTCATATTGCATCCTTCGACTAACAAAAAAGTATGAGTTTGTGTGGGTGTCTGTGTTTTGAGAGCGAGGGGTTCTTAATAACTTCTTATTTGTCTTGAATTTTTTTTTAATTTTGTTTTTTTTTGGGCCTCTTAGATTTCTGGCTATATTTTATCGGCTTAGTTGTCTCATATTGTTTCTTTTGACGTGCAGACAGTGTTTTTTGAGCGTTTTGAGAGCGACAAGGTTTTTTCAAAACTCCTAAGTCTTGTTGATTTTTTTTCGGCTTCCTGCCAAGATATCTATTACCGCTTGGGAAATTATCTTCCGATGCTAATTTCGCATTCTGTTGTCTAGCTATGTTTTAATTTCAAATATGTTTTTTATTCGTTATGACAGATCTGCTTTTCTCGACATTTTCGATTTTTTTTAGATTCTCTTGTGTTGTATCACAAGTGGTGCAAACGTAAACTTCGTGTTGAACTTGTAGCTAAAGTTTTTACTAACTACTCACATAATTATTGAATTTTTAGCTAATTAATTAGCTGATGCAATTTGATACAAAGTCTTGTCTTAATTAGAAAAAGTTGGTCAATATCAAAAATATGGTTAAAATATTCTGTTATAAAAAAAATAGCTGAAAATAATGTCCCAAAAATCCAACTTTGTTAAGATTAGCAGTTATCTTAACAAAGTTGGTTTTTTGGGACCTTATTTTCAGCTATTTTAATTTTTTTCCGAATAAATAGTATTTGTAATATTAGCTTTTGATTTAGTTTAAGTCCAGATGCCCATGACTTCAGCATTTGAGCAACCCATGGATGGAGTCTTAGAGTATGGTAAGTAGCCAAGATTCCAGTTGCAAAAATTGTATCATCCGATATTCCTTCCTCTGTGATAAATTGATGATAGCCGCGTCTTAAATCAGGATCAAAAAACGACTATAATTTTTTTTAACAAGCTCAAATTACCAAAATTACGCGATTAAAAATTTATAATCATTCATGATACAATTGCAGTGTTTTCTAGTTAAGTTTTATTGCTATTTTTTTCGTTAACGCATATTTTGCAGCTTTTTTAAGATCCGATAAACCGGTTTGCCAAAGTTACTCATACTAGTCGCAAAAATTGAACAGCGATCCCCAGACAACAAAAGGTCATTTTTTGTGATGAAAAATCAACGTGGTAAGAAGTCTTTTTTGATCAAGATACGTATTAAGATTGTATTGTTTAAGGCGATTCGTTGGACACTGCTGAAGGTGTGTCGTTGGATGTAACTGACAATATTGATGAATTGGCCTTAAGGCGACCCCCAACTACACTACGAAATACGACGGCTGCAAAATGTTGAGTGTTATTTTTAGAGCTAGTACTCTTGAATTCCTCTTCGTCATCATAAAGTGCCAAAATTTCACATTTAGAGAAAATTATATCGAGCAAATCCATTTTTACTGTTAAGATTGAGTGAATTAATGATGTATTTGTTCCCGAACATCAATTTTATTATTAAAATTTTAAAGAATTAGTTAAAAAGAAAAAAAATGATTTTTAAAAATTATATCAGTTAAAAATTTTAATTCCTTGTAGTGGGCCATTAGTACAAGCGCTTGTAAATCTTTTGCTACCGGGTACAATACTTTTTTCCCGTAAGTTCATTTGTGCACAGGATTCATCTCCTCTGCTGATCAGGCCCGTTTTTCCACATACATAACTTCAGCATCATGATTTTTGTATTTCAAATTCTAACTCTTATTGATTTAGTTGGTCTATTTTAGTTCTCGCTAGGCCAACTCCGATTTGTAAAAATATTTTACGCAGTTTTTTTTAACTTGTGGATTCGACTAAATTGGTTTCGGTTTATGATATATCGGGTTAGATGCCTCATACTCCGCCCTTTAAACGGGAAAATATATTTTCATGATAATACGTGTTGTGATTTGTTTTTAGTTTGTTATAATGACCTTCGGTATTTTAATTAATACCAGTTTAGTTACGACCATCGGTCGATATGAACGGAAGTTCAGTTGTCCTTTTTAACGTCTTAATTCAACTACTTCCTTTTAACGTTTTAACACTTAAGCTTATATACATACCTTGTACATAGACACTAGAATTAGAACAGTTTATTATGGCGCAGTCAAATGATTCGAACGTGCGTGGAATTCCCCCCTTTTGGCCTAATCACACCCTAGAGCCACCGCATGCCTGGACCCAATGGAGCGACCAATTCCAATTGGCGATCATAGCGAAAGAAAATCTGGATATAGAGAGCCTACATGGACCAGAGATACCGGAGACGCAAATTCCAATTTTGGAACAGGCGACAGGCAGCGAGTCGGACGCGGAAAAAGCCAACAGAGAGAGCAGGAACAAAAGCACAATGAAACAGTACGAATCCGCAGAAGAGAAAGGGATCAACGAAGAGAAAAGAAAATTTAATGGAATGAGACGAACGGAGGCGGACAAGAAACTGCGATCAATTTTATTTTTAGCCCTAGGGAGCGAAGGAAAAAGAGTTTTTACACAAAAGAACCCGAGAGTCAAGATTTTAGCAATATCATTCTCCGAGTTCTGGACTCTACTAGGCGCAGCATTTAACAAACCGCCCAATACTACGTTCGAAAGATATAAACTTCTAAATCGAAAACAAAAAGATCGTGAGTCGTACGAACAATTCTGGGGAGCGCTGACGGACCTAGCCAGCACGTGCAACATCAAGGAATCCGACGAGGCAGAGTGGATAAGGGATATCTTCATTTGCAATATGAAGAACACAGACACCCAGAGGAAGCTACTTTCAGCTACCATAAGCCCGTCGGAAGCACTTAATCAAGCCCTAATCGACGAAAAGGGATATTTTAATCACCAGAAACTGACAAATATGTCACGGTCATCGACCAACGGGACAACTTTTAAATCGTTTAGCAACCACAATCATATCAAAAAAGAACCAAGCCTAAACATCGAAAGGAGTAACTCATGCATGAAGTGCGGAAATACATTTACGAAAGGGCACTTAAATGTTTGCCCAGCGAAGGAAATAACATGTAAAAACTGCAACTATAAGGGACACTTCGCCAAATTATGTAAATCACGCAATAAGAGACCAACTGTAAATAATGTATCAAATAATTTCGTAAATACTGAGAATTGTACATACTGAGAAGAAAAAGAATCGTGCGACGTGATAAATGCGTGGAATGAGTACGGACAGAGTGACGATGACGACTTCTCGGTGTTGAGTGTCAGAACTATCTACGACAATAATGGTCTTGAAACAAAGAAACTTCTGAACCTGAACCTTCTGGGACATGATTGTAAATATGAACATACCAGTAGATTCAGCAAGTCCTGTAAGCTTTTTAAAACAGAATGTTCTTCATGAAATTAAACTAAGATACCCAAACCTCAAGATACACCCAGTGGAGAAAATAATAAAAGACCTATACTGCGGATTTACCAACGATACGATCAATATCTTGGGAAAAATAATTGTCAGAACACAATCCAATGGGTGGATCAGCGAAGAAACCCCATTCCTCATAACCGGCGGACACGAGCGTAACATATTGGGGAACGACAATTTACCCAAACTGGGCATAGAAATTTCGCAGAGGAAATGCCCGCAACCAATCTGCATGATCAGTCAACCCACACTTGAGAGTGAGTACAAAAACTTACCTTCTTTATCAGACAACATTTTTAACGAGTTTAAGGACTTATTCACTAGAGTGGGGAAAATACCTAACGATCGGAAGGTAACCCATTTTCACACACCTTTTAAACCAATACAGTCCAAAGGGAGAAGAGTACCACTCCATTTACTCGCGGCAGTGAACGATGAATTAAAAAGAATGGAAAAAGAAGGTCACATAATAAAATTAGAGAAATGCGACGAAGATTGCTTTATCAGCCCAATTGTAATCACTCGGAAAAAGGATTCTTCAATAAAACTGGCACTGGATTCCAAGCTTTTAAATGATCAAACTTTTAAAAATAAGTATCAAATGTCGAATATACACGAACTGATTGATAACGTGGCACTACAAATTTCAGAAAAACCCAACGGGCGAGTGTGGTTTAGTAACTTAGACCTGAAAAACGCATATAGCCAACTTCAACTTTGCAATCAAACCAGTAAACAGTGCAATTTTAGCATAGTAGGCGGCGAAACGACTGGAACGTATCGGTTTCTTACGGGATTTTACGGATTAGGAGACATGCCCAATGAATTCCAACGGGTCATGGACTCAATGTTGAAAAATATCCCGTTTACAAATTGTTACATAGACGACATCCTGGTAGCCTCACGTGGATCGCTGGAAGAACATAAAGCAAAAGTGCACAAAATTTTATCAATCTTAGATAAGAACAACATGGCAGTGAAATGGGGGAAATGCGCATTTTTTAAATATGACATCGAATGGCTTGGCTTCAAGATCCCAGGCAATGGAGTACGACCGCTGGTCGGTAAAGCCGACGCTATAAAAAATTTGCCAACCCCGAAGAATATTTCTGAACTTCGCTCATTTTTCGGCTCAATAAACCAATATGTAAAATTCGTCCCTAATTTATCCACTTTAAGCTCCCCTCTTCGACCCCTTCTAAACAAAAAATCGCTATACAAATGGGATACCAGCCATTCAATAGCTTTTGAGAAGTTAAAAACCGAAATTGTAAATATTGCAGAAAACAGCCACTTTGATATAAAAGAGAAGACAAGACTAAAAACGGACGCTTCACATAGCGGACTAGGGGCTACCCTAGAGCAATTACAGGACGACCAGTGGAAAACAATCGCATTTGCATCCAGATTTTTAAACAACCATGAAATGAAATATTCTACCAACGAACTAGAGCTACTGGGAGTCGTATGGGCTACAGAACATTTCAGAAACTACCTGTACGGAACAGAATTCCAAATAGTCACTGACCATAAAGCTCTACTATCAGCACTTTCGGCAAATCATGGCAATAAAACGATGCACAGTCGATTGACCCGCTGGGTAAACAGACTTTTACCTTTCAATTTTAAAATTTCACATTTACCAGGAAAGGACATGGGCTTTACTGACCTCTTATCTAGACTTCCTTCGGGCAAAGCCCTTCCAATTTCACATTATGACGACGAATTTGTAGTCGCTTCAATCGACAGAATTCAGAACATTTTATCGACTAAAATTGATTCTAAATTACTTACTGTAAATTCTGTAGATAGACCAACGGTCGCTGTAAATATTAATTCACGAGTTAATACAATCCCATCGGGAAAAGAAAATTCAAGCGACGTGATTGGTCAGAATCAGCTGAATAGCTCGTTAGCTTTACTCAATCTCAAGATTATTGCTGCTATCATATCTTGTATCGCTCAGTCGATAAAAATTTGCCACAATAATCATTCTCGGACAGAAAACTGTACTACAAATTGCCAACCAGTCGATAATTCAAAATTTAATTTTAAAAGTATTACTTTTTCGGACAAAGTCCTTCTACATTTTTTACTTCGAAACAGACACCTCATACCACCTAACAAGAAAAAACAAGAACTCCCAATGGACAAAATGAGTGAACCCCTTTTGATTATCCCCGAAGAACATAATATTGTTCTCAAATTCAGAGACGACAAACTTCCACCAGACCACGCTGATCTCTTAAGAAGATATAAGGCCGATCTGAATTTACCGATTTCCCCAATTCGCCCAGAGAACCACTGTTCGAAGAAATTGCTTCAGATCATGACGAGAGAAGACAAGGTGCTGTGGGACCTGATAGAGACGATAAAGCGGAATCGACCGATGGGCATACACGGGACCTACATGAAGAACTATACTAAAGACCTACACGTGAAGGATGACCTACTCTTTTTGGACAACAAACTAGTCGTCCCAGCTACCATCAGGGGAACTTTTAATTCGATGTTACACGAGACTCACCCAGGACAGTTCGGGATGAAATTCCTCGCAGATTATTTGTGGTGGCCACATATTTATCGGGAAATCTACCATCACGGGAGAACATGGACCCAATGTTTAAAAGCTGGTAAGAACATTAAAGTGATACTAGGCACCAATAATATTTCGAAACTCCCGACGTTGACATTCGCGAACGAAGAAATCAATTTGGATTTTGCGGGACCGTTGGACGCTAGTTGGGGTAACAACAAATATATTTTACTGTGTATCGACCGCTACACTAAGTTCCCTTCGGCCAAGATTGTAAATAACACCTCTACAAGAAACGTAGAGGAGGACAAATAGTGGGGACATAAAAACACTATGTAACAGTCGCCTACTTTAGTCACATATGAGGCTCAAGAAAAATAGGCCCTATAACCATTGGCTCAAGG